CAGGACACGCAGCCATGCTGTGTCGCTAGCCACAGGCACCTTTGGGAAAAGCAAACAGCTTTCTGCAGGGAAGTGACTCTGCTGGTGTCACGCAGAGCTCCGCCTTCGCTTCCCGAGCACAGCTGGAGTCCCCTCGTTAGCGTCAGTCTGATTTCCATCGATACAAGTCATGAACTCGAAAATTGCTCCTTCCTTGTTTCTGTAGTTTCCTGGCAGTCTCCGCCTTCCACACTTACTGTAAGCTCCACAACCCCTTCCCTGCCTCCCGGCAGCGGCAGGGAGCGGCTGGCCAGGGGTGCCTGCGGGAGCAGATTAAAGCCACTTCCTACCTGTCATTAGTGACCGACCTGCCCGTGCCAGCCCTCGCGGAGCGCTGTGCCCCGGGCTCGCTGTGCCCTGGTAGCCTCTGGTTCTGTCCTACTCAGCCTTCCAAAGGGCTGCAGCAGTCACAGCTGGGGCCTGGCAGAGGGAGCTGGGAGCCAGCTCTGAGCCCGCGTGTGCCTGTCCCAGCAGGTCTCCGGAGCTGGCCAGGATGGCGCAGTGGAACCAGCTGCAGCAGCTTGACACACGGTACCTGGAGCAGCTCCACCAGCTCTACAGCGACAGCTTCCCCATGGAGCTCCGTCAGTTCCTGGCCCCATGGATTGAGAGCCAGGACTGGTAAGACCTTGTGAAATGCAGAGGAGGGTACTGTGCTCGGGACACCTGCCCGCGGCAGCAGGAGCTCAGACAGGCTTGAGGAGCTCTGCTGCTTTCCCTGGGCCCCTGCTGTGGCAGGACCTGCCTCCCTCCCCGTGGCTGGTGTGATGTGGAGGGGAGTGGGACTGTGCACAGGGACAGCTCTGAAGCAGGGATGTTCCCATCCAGGGCTGGTTTACTCTGACCTCTGTTGTAAATGAAGCTGACACAGAGCACTGATTCCTGGACCCCATCCAGCGAGCACATGGGACCAGTGAGGTGCTGGCATGTGCTCCACACGGCTGGGCTGCAAGCCCAAGTCCACAACTTCTGTCGCCCTGTCCTTGTGGGCATGTCCAAGGGCTTGTTTGTTGGTATGAAGCAAGTCAGGCCTGCTCTGGCCCTTGCTGTCCTGCAGGTTAGGATGGCTGGTGGGTGATGGAGTCAGCATCCTTGGAGGTGTTCAAGAAACAACTAGATGTGGCACTTAGTGCTCTGGTCTAGTTGACAAGGCGGTGATCGGTCACAGGTTGGACTTCATGAGGTGTTCTCCAGCCTCAGTGATTCTGTAAATTGCAGAGGGGATGGTGGGTGTGAGCAGAGCCCCACTGCCCGTCCCCTGCCCCGCCTTGCCCTGTGCTGGACACCCAGGGCCTCCCTCCCTCGCGCAGGGCGTATGCTGCCAGCAAGGAGTCACACGCCACACTGGTGTTCCACAACCTGCTGGGGGAGATCGACCAGCAGTACAGCCGATTCCTGCAGGAGTCCAATGTCCTGTACCAGCACAACCTGCGCCGCATCAAGCAGTTCCTGCAGGTGAGGCGGGAAGGGCCGGCAGGGGCCTGTGGGAGTCCAGTGACCTCCTTGGCACAGCTCAGCACCCCCAGCCCTGAAGGATGCAGAGAGGTTGCCTCATGCCTGCTAACCAGGGGGGTTTGAATCTGTTACAGAGCAGATACTTGGAGAAGCCGATGGAAATAGCTCGCATCGTGGCTCGCCGCCTGTGGGAAGAGCAACGGGTCCCCCAAACAACATGCACCAAAACAGGTGTCGCAGGACCTCCATCCTGATTTTTGATTTTTGGGTGCTCTGCCTGGGTGCTGTGCACCCATCTTTCCTCTCACCCCGTGTGAGGAGTGCCCTGACCCTTGTGCCACCCCGGAGCTGGCGCTGAAGTGAGCAGCAGCTGCCTCAGCATGTGCTGGGGAGGGGGTGAAGACCTGCTCAAGCTGTGAAGAAATGTCCCCCCGTCACAGCCCTGTCCTAATGCCCTCCTTGTCCCCTCTGCAGCAAGGGGGCCAGGCAACACATCCATCAACAGCTGTGGTGACAGAGAAGCAGCAGATGCTGGAGCAGCACCTGCAGGATGTCAGGAAGAGGGTGCAGGTACGTCTGCCTGGGCAGCTTCTGCTTTCCCCACCACGGTGGTAAAAGTGCTTTGAATGAATCCAAATCTCTTGCCTTGCAGGATCTGGAGCAGAAGATGAAAGTGGTGGAGAATCTCCAGGATGACTTTGATTTTAACTACAAGACTTTGAAAAGCCAAGGAGGTAATGGCAGCTCATTAGCCTCTGCAAACCACAGTGTGTTCCTGCAAGGAAACTTGCTGGAGGGTGTGTTTGCTCCCAGCTGGAAGGTGCTCGAGCTCAGTGCATTTGCATGGCAATTGGAGAAACTTGGTGGTTTGTTTCTGCCGCTGATGCTGCCCCCGGGGAGCTGAAGCAGAGCTCTGCTGTGAGCACAGCAGTGGGGTGGGGAGGGGAGACCCACCGAGGTGCTTGGAGGTTGTGCCAGATTCCTGCTTGGCTGTCGAGGGCTTTCAGGGTGCTTTGCTCTGGAAGTGTTGTCTGCGTGGTGCTTGGGAGGCCAGGAAGAGTCTGTGTGCATGGCTGAAGCTTCTGACCTCTGTGCAGACATGCAGGACCTGAACGGGAACAACCAGTCAGTGACCCGGCAGAAGATGCAGCAGCTGGAGCAGATGCTGACGGCGCTGGACCAGATGCGCAGGGTATGTGGGGCAGGTGGCCCTGCAGACCACCCCCAGTGCAGACCCCCCTTGTTCAGGGTCAGAGTTCAGTGCTCCTGCATGGCCAGAACCAGGAGCAGTGCTGGAAGCACAGCCCTGGGCAACTTCTGCCTTGTCTGTGAATGTGAAACTTGTGGATCTGGTGGGTAGTCACAGAGTGCTGAAGGTTCTGCTTTCTCTTTTGGCAGGGTATAGTGAGCGAGCTGGCCGGGCTGCTGTCAGCCATGGAGTATGTGCAGAAGATGTTGGCGGATGAGGAACTGGCGGACTGGAAGAGGAGGCAGCAGATTGCCTGCATTGGTGGCCCCCCCAATATCTGCCTGGACCGGCTCGAGAACTGGTGAGAGCTGGCTGGGGCTGTGTCGGTCCCCGGACTGGTGGCGGCACTCACACACCTGCCATGGACATGAGCTCTTGGCCTCTGGAAATGGCCTTGCAAAGTGGCTCCTGATGCCTGCACGTGTCAGTGTGACTGACTGAGGCTGCTGAAAAGTTTCTGGCCCTGCAGAACTTGGGCAGGTGCAGGTTTCATTTGTAATATGTGGCCTAGAAGAACACCCTGGATTGGGAGTCACAGAGGTGCTCAGTTCCCAGCTGGTGTGGCATGGGGGTTGTCCCCTCACATGGGAAGAGGAGGGCTCTGTGGGCTGGAACGGTGCAGGCTTGGCAGCCAGAGCTAACGCTGGTTCTCCCTCCTCCCCTAGGATAACTTCTCTTGCTGAATCGCAGCTACAGACCCGGCAGCAGATCAAGAAGTTGGAAGAACTGCAGCAGAAAGTGTCCTACAAGGGTGACCCAATCGTCCAGCACCGGCCCATGCTAGAGGAGCGGATTGTGGAGCTGTTCAGGAACCTGATGAAAAGGTGCCGAGGGCAGGCAGGAGCCGCAGGCAGTTGCAGTCGCGGCCATGGGTGGAGGGTGGGCAGTGAGCAGGCTGCCTGGGCTAGAGCCCTGACTCTGGTCCCTGTGCTGTTCCCTGCAGTGCTTTTGTCGTGGAGAGGCAGCCCTGCATGCCCATGCACCCCGACCGGCCCCTCGTCATCAAGACCGGTGTGCAGTTCACGACCAAAGTCAGGTGGGTCAATGGCCTGCGGGCGAGGGATGGAAGCTGCGCAGGGAGGGCAGAGAGGGATCGTTCTCCAAAGGAGATGCTGGTGCAGATGCAGCCCCCAGCTTACCTGGGGAGCAGTAGTGCTGGGAGGGGATGAATCCTAGCAGGATGGATCCCAGTGGTCTGGAGTGCTGCCTGTGTGACTCAGTGCAGGGCTGGCTGGGGCTCCAGCGGGTTCTGGTAAATCCCGCTGTGGGGGCGGGTGGTGGGATGTGTCAGTGTGTCCCTGGCCAGCTGCTGCTCAGCTGGGCTGTGTTTCCTGCCAGCCTCCATGGTGGGAGGCTGCTCTGACGTCAGGCTCTGCCTGGAGCTTCCTCACCCTCTCCCAGCTGTGCCTGCATTGCCCGCTTGGCACGTGGCAGCCTCTGGTGCAGAGCAGCGTGGAGGGTGTTTTTGTCCGGAGGCTGGTGTGGGCAGTCAGCAGCCCAAACAAGCTCCTTGGGGTGCTCAGGTTCTGGGGGCAGGCGAGTCCCAGGCCCATGTGCACATGGGTCCAGGGATGCCAGAGGAGCTGGGTCCACATTGCTGGCTGACAGGTGAACAGGGGGTGTTCCTGTGTGCAGGATGTTCATGCTCTGTGTCTGCTGACTCTTGCAGGTTGTTGGTCAAGTTTCCGGAGCTGAACTATCAACTGAAAATCAAAGTCTGCATTGACAAGTGAGTCCTGTGCTCCCCTCCTGGTGGCACTGGGTGGGCTTACTGAAGTGGGACTGGTTCCTGCTGCCCTTGGATTGGGCTCCATCTCCACACCGAGGGCAAGTGTGACTCCCAGTCAAAGGGGAAGATGCAGGACAGCACTGGGTCCTGATGATGCAGTCTAGTGCTGCATGCCAAATTGTCTGCATCAGGGTAGGAAGGCCACAGCCATGACCTGGTGTCTCTCTCCTCTTTCCTAGGGACTCTGGGGATGTTGCAGCACTTCGAGGGTAAGTGCAGTGTTTGTTTTGTTGTTTTTTCTTGTTTCTGCTTTTACTCCTGGCAAACATCCTACCGTACTTTCACTCCCAGAGGGCCCTGTCAGCCACGCTCTGTCCTTCCTCTTCCCAGGTCACGGAAGTTTAATATTCTGGGAACCAACACTAAGGTTATGAACATGGAGGAGTCGAACAACGGCAGCCTCTCCGCAGAGTTCAAGCATCTGGTGTGTACCATGAGCTCCTGGGCTGCCCCTGTAGGGCTGAGTGCTGTCATGGGGCTGCTTCAGCCTGTGCCTCTCTCCACAGACCCTGCGGGAGCAGCGCTGCGGGAACGGAGGACGAGCCAACTGTGACGTGAGTCTGGGGGGCCCTAGGAAGAGTTCTTTGACAGGGGCAGGGAGCTGGGAGGGTGTGCAGGAGCCCTGCCCTGAGCTGGGGCGTCTACAAGCACCATTTGGTGTGTTGGCAGCTGCCAGACCAGCCCCAAGCAGGAGTGCTGTGCCCGATGGCTATGTCAGGCCAAGAGTGAGCATCTCCTGGTGCTCATAGTGTCTCCTTCTGCCCCAGGCCTCGCTGATAGTCACTGAGGAGCTGCACCTCATCACCTTTGAGACAGAGGTGTATCACCAGGGGCTGAAGATTGACCTGGAGGTGAGACACGGGTCACTGCCTGTTGCTGCCACGGGCCTGGGTGCAGAGGAGCACTGGGAGATGACCCAACACATCCTCTCTTTGCAGACCCATTCGCTGCCTGTGGTGGTCATCTCCAACATATGCCAGATGCCCAATGCCTGGGCGTCCATCCTGTGGTACAACATGCTGACCAACAACCCCAAGGTAGGGGAGGCAGCAGGGCGGGTGTCGGGATGGGGTGTGCCAGGGGGTGAGGGAAGCTGTGGCCAGGGCAGGACCTGGCTCTGCTCCTGTCCCGTGTCCCACTCAGTGCAATGTGTTTCTTTGTGTAGAACGTGAACTTCTTCACTAAGCCACCCATCGGGACGTGGGACCAGGTGGCAGAGGTGCTGAGCTGGCAGTTCTCCTCCACCACAAAGCGTGGCCTCAGCATCGAGCAGCTGACCACGCTGGCAGAGAAGCTGCTAGGTAACTGCTAGGTGACCCAGTGTGGTGTTTTGCCCATGCCTGCTGTCCCTCGGGTGACTCCCCACCTGTACATGCTATCCAGGAGCAAGGTCCCAGGTTTGGCAGGGGAGCTGTAATTTTCAGTTGCTTGGTTTTTTCCCAAACAATGCAAACCTCAGGTTGCTCCCTGGAAATAGTGTTTTTGGAAAAACAGCTCTATCTTAATATTGATGTTGCTGTTCTCTGCCAGGACCAGGTGTGAATTACTCCGGCTGTCAGATCACCTGGGCCAAGTTCTGCAAGGTAGAACTCCCTCTTCTTTCCCAAGCACCTTCCGTTGGCCATTCCCTTCCTCTGAGCTGTGCTCACAGTCTCTCTACCTTTTCCTCAGGAGAACATGGCTGGCAAGGGCTTCTCATTCTGGGTCTGGCTGGACAACATCATTGACTTGGTGAAGAAGTACATCCTGGCGCTGTGGAATGAAGGGTGAGCACCAGCCTGGAGCCCTTGGTTGGGCTGGGCCTTGAGCGGGGTTCCTTGGGTCCCATCCTTGTAGTGTGGGGTGCCTTGTCCAGGTGCAGGTGGGTTTTCTTGGGTTGCTGTTTGCTGGTTCAGAGTCAAAAAAACCCTGTGAATCCTTAAAATGTCAGTGGCCAGGCCAGGTCCTGCTGCTGAGCAGAACTGGCAGAGCTCACATCCTGGAGGCCCTGAACCACTTTTGCTTTTCTCACTTCCTGCTGCTCAGGTACATCATGGGGTTCATCAGCAAGGAGCGTGAGCGAGCCATCCTGAGCACCAAGCCCCCAGGGACCTTCCTGCTGCGCTTCAGTGAGAGCAGCAAGGAAGGAGGCATCACCTTCACATGGGTGGAGAAGGACATCAGCGGTACGAGCTCTCCCCTCACTGCCCTCGCTGCCTGGCTTGACGTTCCAGGCTCCAGGGGGGCTTGGAACCCCCTGAGGAGACACTTGTCCTTTGTCCTGATCCCAACAAGCCCTCTGCCTCGGTTAACCCCTGAGCCTGGCTGCCCTTTGCTGGTCTCTGCCTCCTGTGTGTCCCTGCCCATGTGATGCCTGTGTGGCACAGTTTTCCGTGGCACTGAACCCACCTGGCGGGTCACTGTCCTCCCCTGTGGTCTGGTGAGGCTGATCACAGCCCCAGGCCCATCTTGTCCCTGCTGCTCTGAGGGGGTCTGAGGTAAGCCCTGCCTTTGCCCTGTGCCAAAGTTCTCCTTCCTTGCACAGGGAAGACACAGATCCAGTCAGTGGAGCCTTACACGAAGCAGCAGCTGAACAACATGTCGTTTGCGGAGATCATCATGGGCTACAAAATCATGGATGCCACCAACATCCTGGTGTCCCCACTGGTGTACCTGTACCCAGACATCCCCAAGGAGGAGGCGTTTGGGAAGTACTGCCGCTCCGAGAGCCAGGAGCACTCGGAAGCGACAGACTCAGGTAGTTGTTGACTTTCTGTGGCTCCTGTGTCACGAGGAGACTCTAGGGATAGCACTGGAAGAGCTGTCACAAGCCAGGACCCTGTGCCATCCCCAGAGGGCACAGACACAGTGTGGGATCAGCTGTGGGGTGCTATGGGCAGAGGGTGGGCACTGTCTGTGCTCCAGTGGGAGGAGAGCAGAATTTGTTCTTCGGTGTCTGGTGACAAGGCTGCTCCCTCCTTGCAGGTGCTGCTCCGTACCTGAAGACCAAGTTCATCTGTGTCACCCCGTGAGTGTTCCTGGGGGGTGTCTGTCAGTGCTGGGGGGGTGTCTGTGTGCTCAGCCTGCTTGGGGCAGGGGTTTCCTTCCTTTCAGCTATTGCCTGGGATCTTCTCAGGTTCCATGGGGCTCCTAGGCTGGGGTGACAGTGGGAGCTGAGCCAGGCTCTGACTGCTGCCCAAACCACAGCCCTGTTCTTCCCCTCTGGGGCCCCTTTCCTCTGGAGAGCTCTGGGGGCTGCTGGGCCGTGCCCGGGGGCCCCTCAGCAGGGACAGGGGGTCTTGGAGAGCTCTGGCCGGCCCTGACTGGAGGGTTCTGTGCTTTTTCTCCCTTGGACAGCACCTCCTTCAGCAACACCATCGACCTGCCCATGTCCCCGCGCACCCTAGACTCGCTCATGCAGTTCGGCAACAACAGCGAGGGGGCGGAGGCCAACGCGGGAGGGCAGTTCGGTGAGTCGAGGGGGTCCCCGGGGGGTCCCGGCCGTGCACAGGCCCCGTAACCCGGCTGTGTCTGCCCACAGAGTCGCTGACCTTCGACATGGAGCTGACCCCGGAGTGTGCGTCCTCGCCCATGTGAGGGGCTGCGCCGGCGCGTGGGGCCCTCCCCGGGCTCAGCATTCCCACCTCCAGAGAGCTCCCCCGGA